GATTACCTCTTCGGTTCCGGCTATCGCGAAGGGTAACCAACCTTTGGAACTCCCTTCCAGCTGACGTGGTGGAAGAGGTCAATGATAAGATGTTCAAGAGGAAGCTCGACAGCGTCCTGCGAACAATGTGGTATGCAGATCTATCATGAATGAGATCTTCGAGTCTGTGGTGATGAGGCTCATACGGGAAATTACCCTCTGCCTCTAATTGAAGAACATTGAACATTGAACATTGAACTTCGTCGGTATTTAACAGTAGTATTTGTCATTATTCAGTCTTTACAAAGGCTTTTATTCAACCCCAGAAAAAACGAACCAGTGACTTTATTGTACATCTTGAATACTATGCACATGTGTTCAGCGCATGCGTTTACTGAATTTGAAGATGACAGTATCGGCAGTTTCAAAATGAAGGCCGGTCATCGGGCAGAAGTTGTTACACTTACAAAACTGGTAAAAGCATCTCAGTGTGCTACCCATCCAGAGATTGAAACGAAACAATTTAGGGTTCGAAAAAGACAAGGATAGTTTGTGTATGTAACAAACTTCATTGTGTCTTCAAAGACATTTCCGCAGTGTCGTGCAGTCAAGTGAATCAAACGACATTCCGACGTTCAAGAGCACAAGTACAGCCAACTTGTGATTAATGTGACGATTTTTGAGCATGCTATCTGCAGAGCCAGGACACGGATGAAATCTGCCTTCAAATTATATCATTTTTCATTTCGTTTAGGTACCCATTAAATGAATTTTCAACATAACTCGAATCAAACCAATTCGATCAACGATGCAAAGATAATTGTTATCCAACTAGTTCATTATGTCTACCCATAGACAGATAGATTGATTAATTCATTAATTGAATCGGGAAATTATTTCAATTGTTATTGACAGAAGTAGCCATAAAAATAACTGATTGGTTTATCAGGTAACCATTAGTCAGTACTTGATAAATTAAAAGGTTTTGAGGCAAAACAAAGTTATTTATTGCGTTCAAATAGACAAAGTATCTATTGTGGTATTGCAGTGCCGTGATGGTATCATTTGATTCGAAAATGTGTATAACAGTCAACAACATTCACATACATATATAAAGAATGAGAGATATCAAAAAGATGAAAATCTCCGGAATGTATGACTAGGGGACTGTAAAGAGGCGATTTACCGGTCCCGTTGAAGCTAAATACTTGTGTATAACAACCGGGGGAGAATTTATAGTCCTTTGTCTCTTCACGATATTGTAATACTGGATGAACCTGTATGTAGAAAGAGAAGGAATAAAATGATAGTAGAGAATGTTATTACATCATCTAAGATGAGCAGCAATAAAATATTTAGCTGATGAGAGAACGCGAAATCTCTTATAGGTGATCAAGGCAGGGAATCATTGAGTCCCAGTACTAATTTGGCAAGTGGTATTGTTATTCAACAGTTTATCTACTGCGGGTGGGACGTAATAATTGCATTCTCCTAATTCAAGGGTCTTAGACAAACACACAGTCTATGCTACCAATTTGTGGAGGGGGGAAGGATTCCATTTCCTACGGGAAAACATGCAAACATGAAGAAATACAATACCCAATGGGGCCTTCAAAGATTGCCACCTTCAACCGCGATGTGACTGATCTATCAGAACTACTCACGATACATTGATTTTTTAGTCTTGGTCAGTAGCAGTAGTAGTAGTAGTAGTAGTAGTAGTAGTAGTAGTAGTAGTAGTAATGTACAACCAATAACCATACACTTTCGTGCGGCGTTTTGGGTGCTGTCATTTGGCTACCCATATGAATGAAGAAAAGTTGAAAGTAGAGTCGAACAGAAAATGGGGAATATAAGGCTGCGAAGAAATTCTCAAGATGCACGATCACCGTTTACGACACTCAGCCATATCACTCTGTGTCTGTAACCATCGGTTATGATCATCCCGAGGTCCCCAGCCAGGTAGTCTAAAGGAACCTATGTAACCCAGTCCCCTGGTAAGAGATTTCATAACTTTGTGCCAGGTCTTAGGTTGACTACTCTTCGTATTTTTTAACCCACCAACTACCTCGGCAAACATCGCTCGCCGTAGTACTAGTATTAGTAGTAGTAGTAATAGTAATAATTTGGAATATGAGCTTCCTGCATTTAAATGAAAATTTGCGCTGAGTGTTGTGGTGTTCTTCGTGTTGTCTTCCACAGGACTCAGTCCAAGAACCGACTCACACAAAAAGGAAAACGTACTTTGCATGGCTCATTTGATGTTATGAATAAACGTTA